GTCCCTCTGTCCCCTCTCTCCCCCTGTCCCGCCCGGGCCCGCGCGCCTCTGTCCGCGCACAGCGCCCCCCCGCGGCCGGGCGGCGCCCCCGCCCCGCCCGCTGACGTCACGCCGCGGTGAAGATGGCGGCGGGCCCGGGTCGGGAGCTGTGAGCGCCCCGGGCCCGCCAACATGAGCTGCTCGGCGGACGCCGTGAAGGACAAGCTGCTGTGGAACGTGAAGAAGGAGGTGAGGGCGGAGGATGGAGGCCCCGGGGATGTGCGGCGGGCAGAGCCCCGATGGTCCGGCCCCGGGGGGCCGCGGGTCGCGGCGGGCGCCGCGTGGGGAACGCCCTGCGGCCCGGGCGGGCGGACGGGGCCGGTCCCGGTGCCGGTGCCGGTGCCTCGGCGCGGAGCGGGTTCGGCCGCCGCGGCCGTGCGCGCCCGTCCGGGCTGGCGCCGAGGACGCGGATCTGTCCCGGTGCTGCCCCGGTGCTGTCCCGGTGCTGCCCGGTGCTGCCCGGTGCTGTCCCGGTGCTGCCCCGGTGCTGCCCGGTGCTGCCCGGTGCTGCCCTGGTGCTGCCCGGTGCTGCCCGGTGCTGTCCCGGTGCTGCCCAGTGCTGCCCGGTGCTGTCCCGGTGCTGCCCGGTGCTGTCCCGGTGCTGCCCGGTGCTGCCCCGGTGCTGCCCCGGTGCTGCCCGGTGCTGCCCCGGTGCTGCCCGGAGAACCTCGGGGCTCTTTTCCCCCGGCGCACTGAGCGGGGATGCCGCTGGCGGGACTTGTGCTGCGCAGGAGGCGCGCATCGGCTCCCGCTCCCTTTCCCGGCGTTTGTGCTTCCCGTAGCACTCGTTCTTTATGACTTTTTCCTTAAGTGTGAGCTTTAGAGGAGAAGGGGGGAATCGGAGGTCAGAAAGGTATTTCTGAGGTGTCCGTGGATGAGCCGAGCTGACTCCCAGGTGGCAGAGCCCTGGCACCCGTGCCCTGGGAAGGGTTAATTAGGGTGGTTGTTCTGCACACACCTGTGTGCATTCCGGGCTGGAGCCGTGTGTACACAAAGAGCGCACCTGAGCGCCGGTGTTCGGCCTTCGGTCCCCGCACGGCGCTGCTCGGCTGCGGGGAGTGCTCCGTGCCTGCCAGGAAATAAGAGTCTGGGTTTAAAGGACAAGGGAAGGGGACCAGGGTCTGAGAACAGACATGGACATGGAGTCAGGTTTTCCCAGCAAGCACGCAGAAGTGGCTGTATGAAGTCACACACGATAAAAAATTGAGGTTGAAAATTCTATTGGAAGAAGTTATATCCAGTCATTAAGGGCAGCATTATCTGGTGGGCAGTTACCAGTGGCTCGTGTTCAATTCCTGCCTCCATCAATTGATTACTGAAGACAAATAAAATCTCCATCTCAGTGTCTCCAACTGCGACCTGAGCCGTGCTCCGTGCCCGGTGCTCGGCAGTGCTCCGTGCCTGGCGGGCCGTGCTCCGTGCCCGGCGCTTTGTGCCCTGTGCTCGGCAGTGCTCCGTGCCCGCTGCTCGGCAGTGCTCCGTGCCCGGTGCTCGGCAGTGCTCCGTGCCCGGTGCCCCGTGGCCGCTGCTCGGCAGCACGGACGGCGTGTCCGCTGCGATGGCATCGCGCCGGAGCAGCCCTGCCGCAGAGCCCGGCTGTGCCGGGGCGGGAGGAGCCGGCGGTGTCCCTGGGCACCTCTGCAGCCTGGTCCAGCTGGGAATCCCTGCGGCCGCCTCTCCCCGTGCCCCCAGCTCCGGGCTTTTGTGCTTCTGTGGCACTGGCTGTGGTGGGCTGCGTGTAGCTGCCGGTTGTTACACAGCAGTGAATGGAGGTGTAGTGCGTATCCATCACAGCGGTAACAAGCGTTTTTAACAGGTACCTGCCCTCCTGCTCCTTCCCCTCTGCAGTTCACTGCTGGGGAAGCAGCAGGAGCTGTCAAAGTTTAGATGTAAAGTTGCTGCTGAGCCCGATGTAAAGGCTCCTGAGCCCGACTGCCGTGTCCTGGTGCTCGTTGATGCTGGAATCAGAACACATCAGGTGTGGTGGGGAGCGTGGAAGGGGCAGAGCAGGGACAGGCACATCGAGGATGGTCTGTATGTGGAGCAGCAGGGCTGTGTCCCAGCATGACCCAGCCAGCAGCTGGCTTGGGCAGGTGGCACCTGCTGAATGCTGCCATAACCATGCCACTTAGATTAAAAATTTCTGCTCAAACTAGAACCTTTGAGCTGAGGCAGTGCAAGGTTTTATTTAGAAGTGGGTGCGCTTGCTCTCCTGAGTAATGCTTAAATACATAAATAAATCTGATAAATGTTTTCCAAGTGTGAACATTGCAATCTTGAGCTAATGCAGGAGATGGAAAGTGAAATGGATTTTCATGATCCAAGCCAGCTCAAGCTGAGGAGAAGTAGTGGTGTGTAATTAAAAAATCTGAGGCTAATTTGTTTTTAAAGTCTCTAAAATGTTTTTAATTGGACTCTGGTTTTTAAATGGCTTGAATAATGCTTGAAAGTGTTATTTGTACTTTCTGTGTCATCTGCATTTTTGTTTTGTCTGTAATTTGTTTTTTCCTTCTCCCAAGTCCTCACCAATGCTCTTTTAGAGCACTTGTAGTGGCTTGGCTTTTTCAGGTTGGCCAGAGCTTTCCAGTCTAAAATAGCCACGAGAATCTTTTATAAGCAGGCTGAGGTAGCACCCCTCACCTGTGCCTTCACAGACCTGTGGAAGGGCCCTGTCAGTGCTCACAGTGAGAAAATGGCTCAGGTCGCAGTTGGAGACACTGAGATGGAGATTTTATTTGTCTTCAGTAATCAATTGATGGAGGCAGGAATTGAACACGAGCCACTGGTAACTGCCCACCAGATAATGCTGCCCCTAATGACTGGATATAACTTCTTCCAATAGAATTTTCAACCTCAATTTTTCGTCATGTGTAACTTCATACAGCCACTTCTGCGTGCTTGCTGGGAAAACCTGACTCCATGTCCATGTCTGTTCTCAGACCCTGGTCCCCTTCCCTTGTCCTTTAAACCCAGACTCTTATTTCCTGTTGAATGATTTCCCCATAACCTCAGTAGTAGAAAAGGAGTTCATAGGCAGTGGATTCTTTCTGTGGGCTGTTCCACCAAGCCTGGTAAAATTCAGTTGTCTTTGCAAAGTATAGAACACTTATCTCCAAAGCCACTTGGTGCAAAGCGTTCAGTTTATTTTGCCTCAGTCTCTCAGCTAAAACTTCAGCATTTTTCCTTTGGGAAATTTAATGCTGTTTGATTTCCTCAGATGGACTTTCAGTTCCCATTGGCAGGGAATGTATTTTGTTGTCTCTCACAGAAAGGAAGACATGTAATGTGTTTCAAAAATGTAACTGCTGGGATTCATGCTGAGGCCGCTTGGAAGTTCACGTTTCAAGCATTTATCTCTCTCTGCAGGAAAATCTGTTGTGACAAGCAGACTCATAAAACAGGCTTTTTTCTCTGGCCATTTCCTTTTGCCTCCTGAAATGGAGGGTTTTGCCATTTCTGGATTTAAACAGTACTTTCTAGCTGTGAAACAAACAGGATAACAATAACCTTAGCAGTTCTACCCTGAACGATTTCAGAGCACTTCAAAACCTCAATTGCTCGACTTGCAGCTGAAATGTAAGGACTTCTGAGCAGAAGTGCAATAGTTATTGAACAGCTTTTATTACACTGCCAGTCTTTCATCAGCAGTAAGGAGTCAGTGCAGTAGGAGCTGTCAATAAAGGAGGTGAGCAGTAGCTGCACAAGCTGAAGAAGATATGGATGGTGGACATTAGGTTTTCTTCTTTTGAGGAAAAAATGCTGTAGGCTTTAACTGTGTTCCTGGTTATTGTGGTATGTTATGAGCATTCTTCTTTAACATTTTTTAAGTTTACTTATAATAGAATTTTTAAAAATTAAACATAAAGGCATTTCTCTTGTGTATTTCTTGAGTGACACTTAATAAATAATCCGTGTATTATGATGTGTCTTTGGTGTTTGACTGCATCTGAAAGTTTTAGCCCTTGTAGGATGTGGGAGAAAGTCAGAGCAGTGATCCATTGGAAGATGCTGCAAATGCTGAGTAACTTCTCTTTGAGGAATTTTCTTTGATTACCTGTATAATGCTGCCACCAGCATCTTCTCAGGCGCTGAGATCTCTACCTGGGTGGGCAGAGCTTTCCTGTCCCTGCTCTCAGGGGTTGGCAGACGTGTGTCCCCGGAGCCTGGCACTGTTCCAGGGCGAGCAGGTGTCCCCAGGCTGCAGCTGGTTCAGGGACAGTGACACGTGTGCCTCTCTGTGCCACCAGGCAGGTCCACACAAGAGCCTGGTTGGGGTGAGTGGCTCCTGTGTTGGGAGGCACAGAGAACAGGAGGATGTTTGCAAGGCTGGGATGAGCCGGGGTCACAGCTGGCCCCAGCGCTCCCTCCCACCTGCACGGGCTCCCTCCATGCCTTGCACATCCCTTCCCTGTGGGGGTAGATGGGGCTGTGGGGGCAGGTAGTGATGTTTCTGTTAATGAGATTAATTTGCAGTTTGGTCAGGTCTGCTGGTAGCTGCCAGTGGGTGTGTGTGGAGGCTTGTGCTCAAAAAGCTCCATTGTCGAGTGCCTCCCGAGAGCACAGACAAAGCAGCAGAATTCCCTATGAAGAGCTGTGCAATGTTGCAAGGGAATTAAGGAAACAAGCAGAGAAAAGCTTGTGTTCCATTTGGTCAGAAACACTGGCTTTAGCTCCTTGCCTGGAGCATCCATGAATGACGTGGCAGTGAGGGATGACGTGGGATTGAAGAACATTGCATTCCAGCTTTTGAATCTTCTCATATCCTGTCTATGCCTTAAAAATGTTTTCTAATAACATTCAGTCACTCTCCAGAAAATGCACGGAGCTTGCTTGGCATCTGGTGGCAGTGGGGAAGGCCCAGAGAGCCTGCTCTGTGTCCTTAGCTCTGGAGTCTGGGGTTTAAATCTCCTGGGAGACACTGCATGGTGCTGCTCTAGAAAAGTAGGGTTGATTATTGAATCTGAAACACTTTTCTTTCTCAGTTTTGATACACTTAAAATTTTAGTTGATGGGGATCTAAATAACATACTGAGCTGATTGGGGTGTGCCTGGGAAATGTGTGGTAGCAAGGAGTTGGCTGCTGAGCACTTGAGCTTTTGCTCATCAAAACTACTCTTCTTCCTCCCTGTTGTTAGGATTTGCATTCCATTTAATGTTCTCTGGGATGCTGGGACTGGTTTCATGGTCTGCAGTCCTGAAGGCGTGTCTGTGACCTTGAGCTGGATGTGCTGACACAGGCTGGTGTGATCCCTGCCAGCGTGGTGGCTGCTGCACCAGGGCAGACTCTCTGTCTTCAGGCCAGCAGCACTCAGTTGCTTTTTGCCAGCAGTACATCAGCCCTTTCCTTGGGTGGTGAAACTGTGCCCAAGGGAATGCTGAGTACACAGGATAGTCCAGGTGTGAGTGCCCATTCATGAGACCTCCTCACACCCCTGCTTCTTCCTTGATTCCCTCTTACTTCTCCACCTCCAGCTGCCTCACTCTGACGTTCTAAGTTCTAACAGCCCTGTCAGAAAAGCCACAGGAAATAAACAAATTACCTGGCTCAAAGTTTGTATTGTCAGTCCTCAGGTGTGAGCGGTGAGCTGGGTTTCATAAACTGCAAAAGACTTGTTTTGAAATCCACAGCTATAAAACACTTTCTACTTTCAAAACCTCTTACATGTTTCCTTTTTCCCCTCCAATGTTTCCTTTGCAATTCAGAGGGCTTCTGTTTGATAAGGAGCACAAATTCTGGAGGATCCACTTGATCCAGAATTTGGAGCGAGGCAAATGCCATGTGTTGAAAGGCTCGTGCAGCAAGTGCCAGAGCTGCAGCCTGCTGCCAGCCGGGCTGGGGGCGTAGGAGTGGGCACAGAGGCCCCAAGATGATTTCTGGGGGAGGGGATGTTTAATTACAGCATCCAGAACTGGTCTCACAGATGGTCTTGCTGGAGGAGGAAGCCCTTCAAAGCGGAGAAGGCACCTCCAGAGGCAGCTGCAGAGCCCAGCTGTCGATGGAGCTCTGCACCTGCAGCTCCTCCTGCTCCAGCACTGAGGGGAAAAGCTCAAACCTTGGGACGTGGCAGTGCCATGGAGTGGTACCCCGTTAGCTCTAAATGCTGGAAGAAGAGAGTGTCTGGTTGAGTCTTCTGCCGTGGTAGCACGCACTTTCATATATTGAAGGTGAATTGGCACGTGTTTAGTCAGAGTGTCATAACCCTGTAATTGTAGCTCACAAATGAGAGAAATCAAAAATGATGGTTAATTTGTGTATGGAAGAGAGCGAGCTCTCCACGGCCAGGAGGAAATGAGTGTCTGATAAATGAGATGGTGATGAGTTGGAAAACAATGAGGTTTCCTGTGGTGTCAGGCTGAGGAAGCCATTGGGGAGAAATCACTGGCAGATGAATGGAGGGTGACTACAGCCTCTTGCCAAGAGCCTCATTGTAAGAATTGTCTGTTCCTTCTTTAATTTTTGAAAGTCAGTAATTTGCATGATTTCCCTCTGGAGCTTCACACATCTTGAGCCCCGAAACTGTAAAGGAACTTTGTTTTAAATCATTAAGAAGTGTGATAAGTGTGATTTTATTTGCTACAATTGCTAAATCGTGTCTTGAAGTGAAAACTGCAGGCACTGCCTTCTCTGTAGGTACTGTAATAATTTTGTATACTGTCTGGTGCAACAGAGCTTTGAAGGCATAATTTGTAATTGCTGTGGCGTGTTCCCTGTTCCCCAGGTAGGAGGAAGGTGACCCTAAATCTCTCTGGGAATGTGTGCCCATGTCACTCAGGGATGCTTTGTGCTTGAAAAAGAGCAGAGTGGCACAAGTGGAAATGGGACATAGCAACACAATCTGGTTTCATGAGCAGAAGAGACTGGGAAGGCCAAGGATGAATCATATTAAAAGTCTTTCACAGCTCTTCAAACTTATGCTGGAGAAACTCTCTGGAGGGTACTGTGGGCACACTGAAATCTGCCTTTTATGGGGGCACACCCCAAACAGACCTGTCCTTGTTCTGCCAGAGGCTTCCTCATGCTATTACAAGCCCCTTAGGTTTGTTTGTGCCTTCCCTCCTTAAATCCATTCTTCCTGCGAAATGTGATGCGAGGCAGTTGTTAGTCTGTTGGTGAGGGGAAGGGGCAAGCAGTGGTTGAAACTGAGACTCCCAAGTGCTGTGCTGACTTTGTTGGGATCATACAATCATTTCTCTCTTTTCATTTTAGGTAAAGCAGATCATGGAAGAAGCTGTCACCCGGAAATTTGTGCATGAAGACAGCAGTCACATCATCGCCTTGTGCGGTAAATGTCACGGGAAGAGCTAATGCTACCTAACCTTACTTTTCCTCTAGACATTTATTTTCTCTGCTGTCAGAGGTAAATGCAGGGATTTAGATACTAGAAATCATGCTGTTCAGGCCCATTTCACCTCTGTATTTGCTACATTTGTGTTTACATTACAAATTGTACAGTAACTCTTACTAAGATGTCATTATCCAAGTGCCAGCCAGGATGACAGGTGGCCTTGCTGAGGCTGGCTGTGTGTTCCAGGCAGCTCCAGAGTGGTCTGCCTGCTCTCTGTTCCTGGAGCCCTGTCCTGGAGTCCTGTCCTGGAAGCTGTGCTGCACTCTTGGTGTAACAATGGTGGGCTGTAACAGGTGATGGGGTGACAGCTGTTTCTGCTTGGCCAAAATTAGGAATACTTTAAAGTCTTCGTACTTCTCTCATCCTCCTGCTGTGATTCCAGCTGGTGTTGTGTTCTGAATTCTTCATGGTCTGAAGAACTAATGGCTCTGCACTGAGCTGCCTCGTTATTGCCCAGCAATCCTACCTGTCCTAAAGCAGGACTCCAGCCTGCTGCTGCTTTGAATGGAGGCCTTGATTAACTCTAAACCAGAAGAAGGTGAAGCTGAATGTTCTGTTTTTACTTTGACTGACTGAATGGAGAAATCCCTTCCAGCAGATTTGGCTAACAGCTCCTGGCTGGTGCTCTCCTGTGTGTACAGTTCTCTTCCCTCCCCCACTCCAGCTTCGTGTGACTCTTCAAGAGGTTTTTCCCTTCTATTTAAAATTAGATTGGTTCAGTACATGAGTCATTTTTGGTGAATCTTCATTATAAATATAGAATTCTTGTGAATCATTTTACTCTCCTGCTGGGCTGAGTTTAGCAAGAGCCTCTTAAATACATGATGGCTGATTTCAGGGTCTCTGTGCATCAGTAGCTGAACAGTTCATAGCTGCCCGAGGTCCTGGATGGCTGAAGGTGCCAATTAAATGTCATGTGCCCCATGTCCTGGGAAATGCTCCTGCCCTGTGCCACCCTTGCTGGCCTGGAGGGATGGTGCAGGTCAGCTCATCCAGCAGGAGGGATCTGTGACCACGAGGGCTCTGCTCCAGCCTGTGCCCTCTGCCTGGGTGCTCTGGGAGAAGGAGAACAGTGCTGATGTTTCCATCCTTGTGGAGAAGCAGGAGTGAGTGCAGGAGGCTCTGTATCTGTTCCCAACCCAGTGTATAACCAACCTAAGTTACCTCCCAGGGCTCTGTCATCCCTTCTGCTTTCCAGGAGATCTGGCTCTGGTTCAGAGCCACAGAGGCTCCATGTGGCCTGTGGCTGGTGTGTGCCATTGCGGGACAAAGTTCTGACTCCCTTTGGGCTAGGTTTGCTGCAGCGGGTTCCACGGGGGCTGTGTGCCCAGCCAGGGCACAGCGCAGCGCTGCCAGCCTCTGGAGCAGCTTCAGCTGGAAGCTGGCTGTGGCCGTGGGCAGCTCCGGGAGACGTTTCCTTGGGAACGGCAGCTGCCACTGACGTGGGGCTGGCAGAGCTCTGCGCAGGGCCAGGGCAGCTCCTGCTGCCCGTGCAGCTGCACTGCCTTGCCCACTTCTGCAGCTCTGAGGGAAAGGGGAAGGCCAAGCGAGCGTCTCAGTTTCTGCACTTCCCTCAAGTGCATTTACAGGGTTTGCAGTGCAGAGCATTACGCCTCCAGTGTTTGTCCAAAAGCTGCCTGCAGTTTGCTGAGCCTTTTCTGTGTGGCTGCCCACCTTTAGTCTGACAGAAACGTGCTGCTTGAAGCAATTAAAAAACTCGTTTAAGTCGTCTTCATACTGCAAACAGGGTTTATTCCTGAATGCCTCAGACATGGTTACCCAGATGATCTCTACATTTCCAATATCTACTTTGAAATCAGTCTTAGTAGTTTGTTCTCTTAGAATCATATTTTGAGTATATGAAATTAAATAATCCTGAATTCCCCATGCTGTAAACTAATCACCATAGAATTCAGGTGGGCTATGGACAGTTGGTGTGTGTCACAATCAAAATATATGTTGTTTAGGTGTAAATCCAGCATGCCAGCTTGGCAGAGGGAATATACTTACTGTGTTTTGGGGAAAGGTTAGTAGTAAACATGAGTAAAAATAGTAACTGTTAAACATGCAGAATTTGGCTTTTCAGTGAGATTTCAGTTCAAATTAAGGAAGGGATGAATGGCACGAAAAGCATTTTTTGGCCTGAATAATAAACCTGCTACCAGTAATTAAACCCATTAATTAAAATGTGCAGAATCCCTTGGTGGCTGAACTGAAAAGGCCAGTTCTGATTTGAGCTGCAGAATGGTATTTAATGTTGTGCTTGGGGCTTCTTGTAAACCTTGTCTGAGGGTGGCATTGCACGTGTCCCGTGGGATGTGGGAGAGAGGAGGGAGCTGGGGATTCCACTGCTGCTCCTGGGGGATGCAGCGGGGCTGTGCAGCTGTGGGTGGGTTTGTGGCAGGGCATCACCAGCTCCTTTCCTGTTCCTGAATGTGAACTCAAATCCTGTAAGGCATTGAGGCTCTGCTGTCAAAGAAAACAAAAAAGTTCCCATCTTCTTTTTGTTTTTGTGATGCTTTGTGGCTTTTTTTGTATACTTTGGACGCTTGACATGTGCTGTTTCTTCCTGTCTTCAGTTACTAATATTTAATTTACCACCAGTGTTGGTTACAGTACTTCACTTCAAAGACAATTGGAAGTATTTGGTTTTCCTTTCCTTCAGTGTCACTAAATAATCTTTGCCTTCCAAATCTATTCTAAAACTGTGTCTAGACCAGACTTACAGACCAGAAATGCTTTTCCCCTTTTGAACCCAAGGAGAAAACGTGCTGTTTCTGGGTGTTACTGCTCTGTCCTGGTAGAATTCTGAGGATCTTTGCTGCAGGGGCTGCAATTCCAGGTGCAGAGGAGAGGAGCAGAGAGCCTCTCCTGGAGGAGCTGGGGAAGCTTGGCTGGCTCAGCCCTAAGGGATGAGCCAGCCCTGTTGATTTAGCTGCATTAACCTCAACTTTTTCATTTTCCATTCCCATTATGCCTGTTGCTTTTCCTCTCTTATTAACTGATGAAAATGACTGGGGGTTTTTCTGGGTAATGCTGTGTTTAAATAACACAGATCTTAAAAAAAGAACAAAACCACATCACGATCTGTCCAGTCATGCCTGGGAAGGGTGACAGGGCTTGACTGCAGAGCTGGATCTGGATATTAGCTGAGGTTTGTATGGGGTCTGTGACTGTGTTTAGTCATATGAGCAGCCCTTCAGACAAAAGAAGGATGTGGTGCTTGCCCGGGGGAGCCTGGGAGATAATGAATTCCCATTAGTGAGCAGTCCTCGGTGCTTTCTCTGTGTGAATAATGATCAGAGAGGCGGCCTGGGGCCTTGCAGCGGACATCTGCCACCCAGAGAGAAGGGACACTTGCCTGAGCACAGCCTGCCAGGCTGGGAACAAAACCACGTCATGATCTGTCCAGTCATGCCTGGGAAGGGTGACAGGGCTTGACTGCAGAGCTGGATCTGGATATTAGCTGAGGTTTGTATGGGGTCTGTGACTGTGTTTAGTCATATGAGCAGCCCTTCAGACAAAAGAAGGATGTGGTGCTTGCCCGGGGGAGCCTGGGAGATAATGAATTCCCATTAGTGAGCAGTCCTCGGTGCTTTCTCTGTGTGAATAATGATCAGAGAGGCGGCCTGGGGCCTTGCAGCGGACATCTGCCACCCAGAGAGAAGGGACACTTGCCTGAGCACAGCCTGCCAGGCTGGTCCTTGCAGGCTGGGCAGCCTGGGAGCCCTGTGCTGGTGCTGGACGTGCTGGTTGAGGAGGTCGTGCACAGACAGAGCCATGGCCCTGCAGTGCTCTGAGTGCCCCGGGCCAGCTCTGCAGGTCCAGCCTTCTCCTGTGTGGGTGAGCTCCAGGTCTGTGCAGGTGGGAGGGGAGTGCTGCCATACTTCTTCTCAGTGCAGTTTCTCCTGGGTGCTCCTGTAGGCTGTACAGCAGCTCGTTCAGCTTCCCTGCGTTTCCTTCGCTCTCAGAGACTCAAGTGCAGTCTTGACTTGTGCCAGGTCAGAGCCTGACTCCATGGCTGCTTTGTGAAGCACTCCTGAGCTGGCATTTCTGTCTGGTGCTGGTGCTTCTGCTCTCCTGCAGTGTCTGTCTACATCAGGACTGCATGAGCATTTATTGTTCTCAGAAAGAGGGCAAGGAGAGCTATCTCCACAAGTGCTTCTGAGATGTAATTCCACACTCAGATCTGATGTGTGGGCCCTGTCTCCATCTTTGCAGCTTCCTTTCACAGAGCCCTGGGGCATCTAGACTTGGATAATCATCGGTGTAAGATGCTTCCTTCTTCAAAAATAAGTAGAGGGAATTGTTATTTGAAATAGTTCTGTGTCACCGAGTATCTGTTCACAGCAAAAGGACTGGTGTGCTCTGAGAATCAGAGTGGCTCTTGGGTCCTCTTCAGAGGCCAGAGCCCATCCAGTGTGTGACAGGATTATCCTTAATGAATGTGCAAAACACTGACTAAGAGTGGACTTTGTGTGGAGCAGCTGAACAGTTACTTCCCAGCAGGTGAGCACTGTTCACTCTGGAGGGGGAGGCAGTAGGAAAGCTCTTGTGTGGCTGGATTTTCTGGAGCCACATAGCTGAGAGCTGGTAAGGTGTGAAATGTTAGGGAGCACAATCAAAGAGCTTCAGCTGAGGTCGTGGATGAGTCTCCATCCACCCTGGCAGTGGAAAACTGGGAGTGCTTGGAACATGGGTATGGCTGGGGACTCCTGGAGAGCAGACCTGCAGGGGATGCTGCTGTCTGAGCTGCAGGGGTGCAGCAGTGCTGGGTTACATCCCACTGCTAATGACCCAGGGCTAACCACAGCATGGGCTGAGTCCTGAGGCTGTGTCCTTCACTGGTCTCAGGATGACTTGTTACCCCATTTTGCACAAAGTTAATTGTGTTTGAAAGAAAACACAGTTTTGTTCCCATCATTTTCAGCTGGAGTGACAGGATTCCAATTCTTCTGAAAACCAGCCCCCTTAGGAAGAAATGTCTTTTGCTTTGGGATTTTTAACTGATTGCCTTGAGGCTTCTAAATATCACCATATTCAGATTTGACAGAAAACAAAGAATTCAGTTTTCTCTTTTTTCCTTAGCTCACAGAAATGTAACTTCTGTAGAAACAGATGTAAATAACCATTGCCCAACCTGACAGTTTATCATCTTAACTATTTTTGGCTTTCTACCCTTGGCATTGATATTTTTAAAAAATTAAGATTATCTGCTATGGAAATGCAGATCTCTCACAAACAAAACATAACTCTTCCTGTATTACTGCTCCTATTTGGGAAACAAACATTTTCAATGATGAATAATGCTTAAAAAATAGTTTACAGAGATTCCACCTCACTTGATAAACACATTAGCCCAGAGAGTGTACCAGAGATGGTCATAATTGGGGGGAGGCAAATATTTTTTCATGCACATTTAGAAGGTTTTTGATTGTGCTCCAAGAATGATGCTTAAATTAATGAGTGGTGTGCTCTGGTGGGGAGGAAAAAAACAGAGCGAATATTAGCTCTGATGTGAAATGAAACAATTTTTGAACTGCATGTGTTTTTAGCCTGAGAAGTGAAATAAAATCTCTTGTGGTTTTTAGAGAACTCTGCTAAACATTTTGCTTTGATCCTGGGTCATCAAATTGGATAATTTTCAATATCTAGAGAAACTTCAGTAATTTTGATTTACCCTTAACAGCATTTAATGAAAACACTTCTGTTTTCTGAAGGTACCTGAGATCCTTGAAGCTTAATGATCACAATTTTAAAGAGGAGCAGTGACCAAATTTCAGCCCTGACGTTTCCCAGCCACTTTAGAACAGGGAATTGTCCATTTAGATACTTAAAAAAAACTATTTTCTAGGGAGCTATTGAACATAGGAAGTTCTGTGGCACAGCCCAAGAGGAGCAGGCTGAGTGCAGGTGCACAAGGCAGAGGAGCAGGTTTGGATGTGTCCTCTGCAGCCCTTTGCCCTCGGGTACCAGAATCTCCCCTGCCTGCCTGCGTGTCCCAGTGACACCACAGGCTGGAACTGGGCAGGAAAACTGGCTTCAAACTGGGCAGATCTGTGACTGGGATAAAGCAGCAGCAGCTGGAGATCATGAGCATCTGATGGCTTCTTTATCATCCTCCTCTCTTCACTTCTTTTTAATTTCTTCAGCCTCATGAATTCAATTCCCTGTGCACAGTTTCCATGAAAACAAGGTATTTAGCTGCAGTATTTCCTCCTGTCTAAGGGAAATCTCATCTGCTAAGTACACCCCATAAATAATCCTTCCACAGGCCTTCTTTTCTGTGCTCACCACCCTTCCATCCCTAGAACTTTCATTTCACAGTCCATTAAGTCATGTCAGAATTTTCATAGAGCCAAAAAAGGACAAAACCGAACCTGTTCACCTGACCCTGGAAGAAGTAGCTGTGGTGAAGTCATAAAAAAGTGACATTTCCTGAAGCTCGGTGGGCACCGTGATTATTTGAACTGTAAATCAATAATATATCTGCACTTAATTAAATTCAGCAGTGAATACTGCAGAGAATGTTCCTCAAAACCGTCTGGAGTTAATGAATTTTTAGATGGCTGCTGTCAGCTGAACCATACAAGAAAATTACCTGAGCTGTGCTGATTTATTCCCAGTGCAGGGCTGCTCTTCCACTCTGTGTGATGAGTTGCTGTTTTTTTTGTGCTTGGTTTTTGTGTGTGTTTGTTGTAGGTACAGTGACAGTAGGCAGGCTCGGGGTCACGCTGGGCTGTGCAGTTGTTGCTTCCCTGTGTGCACACATACCTGTAGCCAGAAGCATGTGTACATGTGTACAGACTACCTGTGTGTGCACAAAAGCACCCAGTGAGGCCTTTCTAATGTTAGCAGTTTCTCCAGAAACAGCTGAATCATCTATTTTTAGGTCTTCTTAGAGTGTCAGATTCCAAAAAGGGGAAAATGGTTCATTTTCCCAGAAATGGGTAGATAACCCCCTTTCCCTGTCCCAAAGGTTCTTGCACCATAACCCTGAAATAGTTCTGCTGTCTCTTTAGGCAGCAGTCTGAGCTGTGCAGTTTGTAACTCCCGGGGATCCCCTGGTTTTGGTTTCCCAAAAAGCACCACGGCCAAGGCCTCTCGTGTCTTTGGAAAGGTTCTGCAGCCCGAGGTGCCTCCTGTGCCAGTTTGTTCAGGATGTGTTAGGTTTCCTCTCTGACTAAGCTTGGCCGTGGGCGATGCTGGCAAGGTGCAGTGAGATCAGTGCCTGCCCCGGACACGGAGCCAAAGGGAAGCCCTGGGGGCTCTGCCAGGGAGCTGTCCCTCCCTGCTGGGCTGTGCCACTCCTGCCACGGGTGGGAGGGACGCCTTGCTGCTGTCCTGTGCCACCAGGGTGCCATCCACACGGTCCCCTGGGTTGGGGTGGGATGCCATCTGTGTCGCCTGCATGTTTTGCGGTCTAACTGGATAAAAGCCACGGTGTATCTGCAAGCACGCTCAGATCAAGTCAGATGTGAATGTATTCCAGCTGTTCTGGAATAATTCTTGCTGAAAGGAGCCTGGAGAGAAGAGTGCTGACAGCCAGTGCTTTAGTCTCAGTCTGGGGCTGCAGTGTAGGAGAATGGAGTGACCTGAGGCTCACACAGGCTGGGCTGTAGCCTGCCCCCCGTCCGTGTTCCTTACACATAGAACTGGACATGTGTTAATCTCTTGTCCTGTGGAAAATACATTTTGAGGCAATCCAGCAGCAAATTCCAGTGTCTCACCCTTTGCAGATGACCCCTACGTGTGCATTATAGGCAGCTGGGGATGGATATTACCCAAGTTTTTGTGATGAGAAATGTCACAATGGAATAATTAAATATTGGGGCTCTAGGGACAGTCACTGGGGAAATTGCCCTCAGTGGCAGCTGCAGCATTTATTAATAATTAAAGCTGTGCCTGCTGTGCTTTTCACTAAATTTGTTTCATTAATATTTTATTGTTTTAAAGAAATAAAAAAAAGCAGTGAAGGTGGGAAGAGAGTCTGTTTCCTAAGCAACAGCAATGCACTTCTTTGCAGTTATTTTTAAAGGCAGGTTGCTTCATCTAAGATTTGGAATCAAATTGCTGCATTGCTCCAGGCATCTGGAAAGCTGCTTTTCTTTTTCCTTTATTTCTAATTGAAAGACAGAGCAGAACAGTTGCTGGGTGAAGAGCGGTTGTGATGGTTGCTAGACAGGAGCTGGAGCGTGCTGTGCAGAACGTGTCCGTGCTGTCACCACTCGCTGTGATTCCTTCCCCTGGCACAGCAACCAGCCTGGCTTCAGAGATGGCACCAGTGCCAGGCTGCTCTCCTGTCAGACCAGAGCTCTGCCCCCTGCTCCTGGCAGACCAGGGCTGTGCCCCCTGCTCCTGGCAGAGCAGGGCTCTGCTGCCCTTCCAGCGCAGGGCAGGTTTCTGATGGCTCAGAGGGGTCTCTCAGGGATGTGCCTGCATGTCCTGCTCCTCCTCCCAGGGAGCAGTGCCCTGCACAGGCTGCTGTGCCCGAGGGGGGGGATGGCTCCCGAGGCAGGCTCTGGCTGCAAGTGCCTCCAGCATGGGAAGCAGCATCAGACCTGCTGCTCAGTGCCTGATGTGTCTGATGCCATCGCTCCTGCCCTGAGCAAACAGAACAGGAGCATGCCAAGCTGAGCCCAGGGCACTGCCCCATTGTGCTGTACCCTGGGGTGGGGCTCCTCAGGGTTCAGCACGAGGTGTTCTGTGTGGCCCCAGCCTGGCCTGGCTCTTGGGCTAGTTTTCATGGCCTGAACAGTGAGGACAGGTCTATTTCAGATGGGGGCTTTCAGGTGTTATGGGATTTGGTGTCTTCAGGAAATGCTCAGCACCTGACAGTGTTGGGCATAAAGTGCAACAAAATGCTGCCTTCTCTCAGAAAGAGCCTCTGTCAGAGCAGATGGAGTGCCATTTGTAACCACATTTAAGGTGGGGAGCTGCGGTGTCCCATGGGCTGCAGTGCTGTGAACACTGCCCTGCCCTGGGCACACTCCTGGCACACAGAGCTGGGTCCTTCCCCTCGCCTGTGAATGAACTGCTCTGTTCTGCATCCTTTGTATGACTCTGAGTCATCTGCAGTCTCACTTCAGAAGTTGATAGACAAGGAAGGCTTACTTTTTTGTTTAGATTTGTTGTGGTTGTTTTAATTGGTATTTCTCATTTCCTTGCCCTGCAGCAGGTTGCAGAAGAGCTGGATAGATTTCTGCTGCAGTCGTGCATAGCGCAGTGCAGTGTTTTACTGGTGACCATCAGGGAATGTCAGTGTGGCTCTGTGTGGAACACGTAAAGTGGGGTGAAAACGCTCAGAGATTCCAGCTTATTTATACACTGCCATTATCTGTACTTTACAAGGTGCTTGTAGTAGCAGATCAGACACTTGCTGACACCATTGTGAGTTCGTGTCTGTCTGTCTGTCCCCCCAGCTCTGCTCTTGCCCCACACTGCCCAGGGGCAGTGAGCAGGTGCTGCTGGCTGAGGAGGAGAAGCAGAAGCCCCATAACGCTGTGTCCTTCCCCAGGTGTGGTGGAGGCATGTCTCCTGCACATGCTGAAGCGCAGGGCTGCCGGCTTCCTGCGCACCGACAAGGTGGCCGCGCTCTTCACCAAGGTGGGCAAGACCTGTGCCATAGCTGGAGACGTGTGCAAGAAGGTGCAGGAGCTGCAGCAGCAGGCAGAGAGCAGGTGAGCTGAGCTCTTTGTCAGCCAGGTGCATGCAGGGTGTGTGTGCACACAGACTGCCCCGCGAGGGCACCGGCGCGTCTCTCGCTGATGGAGCTGTGGGTGTTTGTGTGTGATCAAACTGGCAGTGAGCAAAGGCACAGACATGGGGAACTGAGGCTTTGGTGTTTCATTTTGCTTCTCAGTACAGCAGAGGAGCACATTCGGCCCACACACAGCAACAGAAGTGACTAATTACTGGTGACTTCAGAGAGGGCTCACAGTCTGGGTCTGCTGGACCGGCTTGGGCTGTTGGTGGGAAGGGAGGGGGTGGAAGGAGGAACTCAAGAACAGACATACTGCAAAAGCTGTTTTGGCATGCTCCTGCCAAACCAGGAGCAAATTTCTAGGTATCACAGCAGAAACATTAAATGAATGGACACAGAGTGATGGGAGGAAGGATGGTGTAGGAAAGCTGTTCAGTACGTACCGGGCTTAAGCAAACAGAATCCTGGAGTCAAGGACTTGAGGTTACTGAAAGTCTTAGACTTCTTGCTGGTGGTGAGCAGCAAAGTTAAGATTTTCCATGTGGTTCTGTGGATGGAATCACAGTGCATGAGTGTCTTGTCCTATAAGCTCAGGACAGGAGCATTTTAAATTCTGTTTGTAGGCACTGCTGAGCCCTGAGAGCTCCCTGCACGTCGTAGGAACTTTTAGCCTCTCATCAATTTGCTGTAAAGAAGGGCTTTGTTGAGAGAGCTTGTCTTCAATGACTGACAATTATTTAAATTAGCACTTATATTTCTGTGTAATTTTCTGACATTTATCTTTATTACACTTATCATTATCAGACTTTGTTATGTAGTTTTTGACAGATATGTACCTATTTTTGGTAGATTTTTAATTTGGCCTACTGATACAGACAGGGATTTTATTAAGTTTAGTTTTTTAAAAGTTGGTAAGAAGGATGGTTTCTACTGAATATTCACCAGCCTCTCTCCTGGTTAAGAGACCACACAAACACCCCTCTAACCACAAGAGAACTTTGGCTGTATCCTCTAACAGAGAGGAGCAAATGAACTTAAATTCTGTGGTTTCTCTTGGACGAATTTTGTGTGTTTTTCAGCTATTAACAGCCACAAAATTTAAGTGCTGTAGAAAATACACACAGAAAAGATATGATTGGGAAATACTGCAGGGGTGGACTCCTCTGCTGGATGTATGAAATGAGACAGAAGGGCTGTAACAGCCTAACTGTTCCTGAGGCTGTGGCTTAAGAAAACCCCAGTTTGGGATGCAGCTAAAACACACCCAGATTGTATGATGTCAGTGGTGTCACTGTCTTCCCTGCCTGTGGGGGTGCTGTCATGCCCCCCTGTAGCACTTGGGACCCTGTCAGTGCAGGGGGAATTACAGATCCCACCCAAACCCCCCAAACAAATGTATTAACTCTGTGTAACTGAACCGTTTCCTGAAAGGGAACCCAAGTGCTGGCAAAGAACCTGAAGATGTCAGGGTTTCTTTCCTCATTGAGGCAAAATGGAATCTTCTTCTGTTTTAAGGGGGAGGTTTTCTGGAGAAGACATTGAGGGGGCTCCTGTTCCCCTCAGCCCGGGGCAGTGCCCTGTGCTTTGCAGCCACCTCTCTCCTGCAGCTGCACTGTGTTACCTGATGCAGGAGCATGGGTTTCACTGGATGATGGAGCTGTGCAAATTCTGACTACTTTTATTTTACCACCTTTTGCAGGAAAAGTCAGCCAAATGGGCAGGAACCCCTCAAAAGGCAGGGATCAACCACAAGCAGAACACCTGTCCTGACAGCTCAGGCCATCAAGCACATCTGGGTTCGGACAGCCTTGATTGAGAAGGTGCTGGACAAGATTGTGCAGTACATTGTTGATAACTGCAGGTGAGGAAAGCAGCAGAAGCACAGGGGTTTGTTGGACTGGTGCATTTAGGTGTCTGCAGCAAGGGATTTCATCAAAAGTCTTTGGCAAACCCCTGTGATGCAGGCTTCTGGTAAGATGAAAACCAGTTACATAGGCATTTAGAAAAAATGTAGTTTTTCATCACTGGCAGTGTTTCAGGCTTACAAAAAACATTAACAGGTATTCAGCTTTCCAGAAATCAGCTACAAACGTAACTAAGTATATTAGGTGCCCATATTGTAATGGGACCTAGACCTTAGTGGAATAGAAATATCTTCTAATAGGTCATGAGTTGAAAATAATCCTTTGGAACGGAGGATGTCAGGGAGAAAAATGCCTTTTGGAGATGAAAGAAAGGAGAATTAGAACAGGAGGAGCTAGTGACATAAAACCTTAGTGTTGTGAAAACAGGTTCTTTGAATCATGGTTTTTTTTTTTTTAGAAAAATCAAGCTTTGTGTAAAGTGAAAGTCTTCCCTTGCAAAACCAGAGAAGGGCATCAATGCTTTATGAATGTATTCCCCACAAGCTCCTTAAGAGGCAAAGCTGAATCCTCTTTGTTCTGTTTTTGCCTCCTGCTGCCCAGCACCAGCTGTGGTTTGCCAAGGAGTGGCTCTTAACTCCTGCCCTTCCTGCCCTCCCATAACCCATGAGACAGAACTCTTAATGGGGCACACTGAGGACAGTCTCCCACAAAAAGAGAATGGAAGGGACCCCAAAGCTTGGTGTGGTCCCAGAAAGGAAGTTTGCTGGTGGGGGCTCTTGTCATTCTGCTCTGGCAACACATTCTTGTTCATCCAGAGCCAGTGGGTCTGGACAAGGATGAGAGCTAAGGGCAAAGCAGCTTATTTTCACAGTATTTTCCAACTTTGTGTTGCTGTTTTCCTTGTCATCAGCATTGCTTTCATTATGTATCTTGCCACTAAAAGCAAGAGAATGGAAGAAAGGTCTTTGTGCTGTTCAAGCAAACTGTTGCTCTGGGATATGTAATGCCAGCTTGGATTTTATGAGCTGTGTGCAGAAGAGACAGAGGGAGGGTTGGCCATGTCCCAGAGACAGTTAATGAAAGCATTTTAGTCCACTGCCTCAGTGTCTGCAGATACATGGGTACAAGGGGTTTTAATTTCTTTTCCACATAATCCACAGGAGACACATCAGGGGAGTTTGCTCTCAGTTGTTCCATCAGCTCACTGCCTTCCCCACCCCTGCAGATGAGTTAGGATCAGGTCCTTCATTGCAGGTGTGTGATTTTGAGAACCTGACTTGGTGAATAAAACAAACCTTTTCAAAGGCTTGTCACCATGCATTTTTGTGTCATTACTGCTCAAATGCTCCATGTTCACATCCTTCAGCTGTTGTGTCCTGGAGGAGGAGCAGGTGCTTTAGAGTTTGAGCCCCATCTAGTGAACAGACCACAGAGGACAGTGGCATTCAGGAACTGTGGCTGTTTGGATTTTTTGGCTGTGTGGTTTTGTAAAGCAGCTTTGCCTGCTGCAATGGCAAGATTGGGGTCACTGCAAGAGCAGTGCAGTAGTTCATAGTTCTTCACAGTGTTTCAAGATGATTCCTCACAGATGGAAGACGTGTATAAGAATGTGTGGATTGTTTTGTCTCTGTGGAAAATGGACAAAATTGCTTGCAGAGAACTATTGCTTGTTCCCATATTACAATTCTGCCCAAAGCCCCAAATCAAATATGCTGGGTAAACACACTGAGCACAAGGCAAGCTCCTGCCTCTCCGAGCTCAGCTGGAAAATAGATGAGACAGAATGAGCATGTCAAGAGGCCCATTGTGTTAGACCTGTAGCTAAACCCAAGCTTTGAAATGGTTCATACCAACTCCTGTTTTTAACTGAGCTCTGATCTTTTATTCCTAGTAAATACTATGAAAAGGAAGCTTTACTGGCTGATCCTGTTTGTGGCCCAATACTGGCTTCCCTGCTAGGTGAGTTCTTGCAAAGTTACTTTTTATGCTGAAGAAAGTAAATTGTTTCTTAAAGCATTTTGCATTATAACAATGTTACAACAGGTGAATTTTGTATCTTGTATGTAGTTAACTATTTATAACAGAGCAACAGTGAAGATGTTTTGTTGCTTACAAGACCAGAAGAGACTGATCATCTGGTTTTAATAGCAGTTATTGGTTGGATTAGAAAGCAGAATGGGAATGGATTTTTACTGAATGCTTGCTGGCAGTCTGTAACTGCTAATGCTGCCGTGGCAGGGCCCTGTGTTGTACAGGAATGCTCTTACACAGCCCTGGATAACAGGAGTGATACATTATTGTATTGTTGTCTGTGTCGGGGGCTGATCCCTAGGATCCGTGACCATTGTTATTCACTTGGCTTGAGAAGGAATTCTCCCCTTCAGTGCTCAGCCAGCAGGAGAGTGTGCCTGCACAGACTCAGAAGGTTCCTCCCTTGGTCTCTTTCCCAGTTGGACCGTGTGCTCTGGAGTACACCAAGCTGAAGACAGCTGACCACTACTGGACAGACCCTTCGGCCGACGAGCTGGTGCAGCGGCACCGCATCCACGGCGCGCACGGCCGCCAGGACTCGCCCTGCAAGCGCCCAGCCCTGGGAGTAGGTATTTACTGTGGGCTGCCTCTGAGCTAGGGCACGGGCTGACCATAACAACAGCCCCATGAGCGAGGTACTGAGTCTGGAACAGCCTTTCTTCTTTATTCTGTAACAGAGCTTTATCACAGATTAGAAGTCCAGCCCTGGGAGTAGGTATTTACTCTGAGCTGCCTCTGAGCTAGGGCACGGGCTGATGATAAAAACAGCCCCATGAGGGAGGTATCTGAGTCTGGAACAGCCTTTCTTCTTTGTCCTGTAACAGAGCTTTATCACAGATTAGAAGTCCACTTGGGCCACAGTGCCCTGTTTATCTGTACGCAGAAAAGTTTGAGATCCAGCACTAAATTCTGTGGCATTTGACAACTGTGATCTGACCAGGTAGTTCACAAGAAATTCTGGGTTAAGAGTCCAGGTGATTTCTGTGCCAACGCCCTGCTGCACGAGAGGTGCACCGTGCAGGCTGGGGTGCAGTGCCTGGCTGACGCGCCCGCTGTGTGCGCAGATCCGCAAGCGCCACTCGAGCGGCAGCACGTCGGAGGATCGCTTCGCTGCCTCGGCGCGGGAGTACGTGGAGTCCCTGCACCAGAACTCCCGGACTCACCTGCTCTACGGCAAGAACAACGTCCTGGTGCAGCCGGTGAGCGCGGGCAGCTGGGCTGGGGAGGCAGGGGCGCAGCTGGGGATGGAGCTCCCGCTGGCGAGGGCTCGCGCGTTCTGCTCTCGGCACAGAGCTGCCTTCGGCTTGGCCCTGCTGGGCTGGGCGAGATTTGACACGGGACAAATGCTTTCACTGCCTGAGCACTGTCAGTGGGCAGTGGCTGTAGGCAGGAACAAACACACTGGACTGTATTTCATACACCAGCTGACTGTGTTGTGGTTTTCCCCCTCTTGCTAGTAGCAATGTTGTATACCAGTACTTTTTTTTTTGCTGTTAGGGTTTCCCTCAGCACTTCCCAGATGCTGCAGCCATGGAACTTGCATGGCACAGAAAGACTGGAGCATATATTTAGTGCAGATATTTTGTGCACTTGAGTCACCTGAATTGTCTGTTTGTTGCTTCTGTGAACAGAAAGATGACTTGGAGGCAATTCCTGGGTATCTCTCCCTTCATCAGTCAGCAGATAGTTTGACATTAAAATGGACTCCAAACCAGCTGATGAATGGAACCCTTGGAGATTCAGAACTGGAGAAAAGGTACTCCTTGCATTCAGGAAGGATGGGAAGAACTGTGTAACCTGCTGGGGGGCACCAGGAAAGAGGAAGAGGAGGGGAAGAGGGAAGCAGAGGTTGTACAAACCTGGTACCAGAATATCCAGTGTGGAGAAACTAGCTTTCCTTTGCCATTTACTTGACTAATAATTTACTTTCATTCACCAAATTTAATAAGCAGTTATTAACTTAGCAGAGTTCTTTCTATCAGGTGCTTGGAACTGCAGGCATTCCTGAATATGGAAAAAACAATGTTTCCTGCATTTTCCTTCCTTTTTAGTGTTTACTGGGACTATGCATTGATTGTGCCACTGAGCCAGATCGTCTGCATCCACTGCCACCAGCAACGTAAGCATAACCCTTAAGCATATATTCCTTAAAAATACATAACCAGGAGAGCCACCTGAATGATTGCTTTTCCTCCCTCGGTGTCAGGGACACCTCTGACTAGTTCTGGCCATGTGGGAATGAGTGTTAAAATCTCCAGTCCCAGCTGATAGAGGATGACAGCTGTGTGAGGCTTTCCTAGTTTGCTTGTGTCTAGAGTTTCTTTAGGACTAAAGGACTGATATCATCCTTAGATCACACTGTGCCTAACAAAGGTTTATTTATCTACTTAGAGATGATCCCAAATAAAATCTACTTAGAAGGTAAGAGCAGAAAACTGAGGCTCTGAGGTAACAGTGTGGACTCCCCTTGTCCTCCTTGCAGCAGAAAGCAGATGGACTTTAGTGCTGGTGAGCCAGGATGGGACGCAGAGGCCTCCGCTGCACTTCCCCCAAGGAGGGCACCTCCTCGCCTTCCTGTCCTGTCTGGAGAACGGGCTCCTGCCCCGAGGCCAGCTGGAGCCCCCGCTGTGGTCCCAGCAGGGCAAGGTATGCTTCTTCTGCTGGGCTCCACAGGGTCTGGTACTGACTTCAAGCTGCTTTATGGTAAAGTAGGACACAAAATAACTCCCTTCAGTCCAGTCTGCTTCTTACACACATGGTCTTTAAAAACTGTTCATACCTTCATTACCCCATCGAGCAATGAGCTGGAATCTGCTGTTGCATCAAGATACAAACCCACACAATGGAAGTGAGACTGAGATGGACTGACAGAGCTGCTGCCAGAGGCTTGGGGTGCCCAGCTCCCATAGATTACAAGAAAAGGCTGGTTTGCATCACACAGAAAAGCAGCATTAAGTACTCCTAAACCACCACCTGTATATGACTCCACTGTTTTCTCCCTCACCTCCTCCCAACATTGAAAGTTTGGAGATTTAAGATGCCAGAGGTCTGTAGTACTTAGTTTGTTGTACTCTGTTAGTCACTCACAGCTGAATGTATGGAATTATTATTTTCTCTAGGGCAAGGTGTTTCCAAAGCTTCGAAAACGGAACAGCAACAAATCAGTGGACCTGGAGGAGATGCCAGCTGAGGACACATCCACAGACTACGTCTTCAGAATTATTTATCCTGGACACAAGCACGATAACAGTAAGTGCCTCTGTTCTGCTTTGTTTGAAAAAAAACAAATGAAAAACCAAATCAGGCATCTGAGCAAATCTTGAAGTAATATCCTGGGAAGTACCTGCAGGTGACAAGCCACATTTTTGTAAGGGGTGAAAAACCCAAACCTCTAATAAATTTCACTGAGAGATAATTGTGATCAGCAGGTACAGCTTAGGTTTCCCTAATGCAGTGAGTCTTGTTATCTTAATGGAAATGGAGTTGAGGTGGGGAATCTTACATTTATTCTGTGTTTTACAGAGCAAGTTTTCAAAATACTCCCCTGGGCTTGCAAACTGAGACTGAAACAAAAAAGATTGCTTGACTAGCCAAGAGCAGTTTTGCTCCTGAAGTGAGGATATTTTTACTGGCCACAATGCTTGCTCATAATGTTATTATTAGGAAAAAACCTCAACCATAAACCCTTAAAAGTAAAACCCCAAGAACTCCCTGGGCTAAGTTTTCCTGGCTTGGAAGCACAAACTTAACAGTGGCTTAATAAAGGCCCTTCCAAGGCAACTAAATGAATTCCCAAGCACCAAACCACCTCATGTCATCAGTGAATACAAATTCCTTACATGCAAGAAGGCATTTGAGCTAGTTCTCAAACAGCATGTTCAGTTTTATTCCCCTTGGCAAAGAAGCAAGAACTTCCTGGTAAGATCAAACCCTAAAGGTTACAGGGGACTTGGAGTTACTGCTCACACTGGGACTTGTGACAGCAGGAGTCTCCTCTGCAGCCTGCTGAGCCCGGGCCTGGGCCAGTGCTGGCTGGGCTCTGTCAGGGCTCCTGGCTGGCACAGGTAAACCAGCAAACACACCAGCAAACACACCAGCAAACAGCCTTGGACTGCTGGAGGGCTGCAGGGCCTGGGGGCTCGTGGGGCAGAGCTGCAGGTCCCGTGCCAGCAGGAACTCTGCCTGTCTGCACAGCCACACGCAGCTGGGAGGGACGTTTGCTGTCCAGGTGCATCTGGCACAGGTTTCAGAGAAGGGGCCACAGCACTGCTAGGGCACAGTGAAGGACAGAAGCTAGCTGGAGCCTAGAATTCTGTGGAGCTTTGCTCAAAAGCATACTCAGCTGCTGCAGGCTGGAAGTGGGATCTTTGTCCCTTGCCGTGGTGTGCTCTCACAGCCTGTGCACACTCAAAGGCTGGCTGAGTTTGGTGGAGCGTGCTTGGTTTCTGTAGGAAACTCAGTTTTCACACCATTGACAAGAGCTTGTGCCCTCGAGCAGAGGGCAGGATTCAGGTCCGTTGTCTTTGCTGACCATGTCCTTTTGAGCTTTCCCACAGCACTGAGTTCTTTCTTCTTATGCTCCTCTTTCACTATTTTCTTTGAGCAGTAACTATTAACTACCACCACTTAGCTGCCAGCCGCTCTACCTCTGTTGACGATGATGAGGAGGAGGAAGATAAGCTACACGCAATGCTATCAATGATCTGCTCTCGGAACCTCACAGCTCCTAATAGGATGAAAGGTTTTTATCCTCCTCCCCCTGTGTCCCAGAGCTCTCTTGCAGCTCCTTCCACTGATGCATACAACAGTGTTGGCATTATTACAGGGACAGGCATTTCACTGACGCCATGAGATCTGGAGAAGGGGGAGAAGGAGGTGACTGTGCTGCAGTGGGCTCCCAGCCCGTGGGGAGTGGGAACAGCATCCTCCCTGTCCCTTGATGTGTGTGCTCTGAGCAGCAAGCCTCCTCTCCTTGGGGCTTCCTGCCCCACCTTCCTAAAGGCTGGATAGCAGAGCAGGTTCTCGGGAGAGAAGGAGGGAGGGTGGCAGCTTTGTGATCTCACAGATGAGGCAGCAGAGAAGGCTGTGTGGAGATGCAGTGCCTGTCTGGGGTCAGTGCTTTCATTCCACTTGCAGCCACAGGCTGGGTGGGCTTCAGGGGATCAGCTGTGAGCTCCACCCCCCCTACACAAATTTGTCATCTGTTTCTTCATGTTATTTAAGCTGGTATTCTCGAGATGTGTGTGCATTTGGCATCCAGTAGTTTAGCTCTGAATTCTGAGAAGTCCTTGCTTTCTCTTGTAGCCTGGACTGGTGGGACTGACTGCAAGAGACAGTAATTGCCCTGCATCTCTGTACAGTGCCAAGGTTCTGGGTTAGACAGGGTATGAGCAGGTGTTCAAGGAGGGCCTCAATGCTTCTAGGCTGCCCCCACACTGATCCCAAGGGAGCAGCCCTGGAAATTGATAAAGCCCAGCCCAAGTTAATGAAGAGTTCTTGGAAGGCATGGATGGAAAGAAGTTCCAAAAATAGTGTTGCCCTTGAAAAAAGACTCTGTTTTAGGAAGTTTCAGTGTGTCCTAGCTGATTGTGCCTGGATATGAGCAAAAATAGGAAGGAAGACATTTAACTGCCACATACACATTAACCATAAGGAACACAATTTAGTTTTTAGTCAGCTGATGGAACATGTGAATTATCCCACTAGAATGGCTGTCAGGTGTCTGCTTTTGGCTATATAATCTTGAAGGGGATGGTAGAGTTAGGGATGTGCCTGGGAATAGCCTGTCTGAGCTGCCCCATCCCATAATGACAACACTGTTGTAGCAGGTTTGCCAGTCATCTGCTTTGACATTTTGCAACATGCTCGACTTTTGCATGTAGCTGAAGTTACAGATAACACCACTACAATTAAATAAAAGATGCTGTTCACTCTAATTCTTCACTAATTCAGGTACCTTTCATCTGAATCTTTAGGTTCTGTGGGGTTCTTTCCTTGTTTCTCTAATAAACAGAATAAAAAAATTAGAAATGAAAAATCCAATTTTCCTGTCTACAGAGGGGAGGCAAAAACTAATGATCTAAAAATGTTTATCCAGTGGTTTTTATTTGAACCCAATAAGAAGCTGCAATAAAGACTGGGTCGTTCAGCTCCTTCCTGAAGAATTAAGGTGAAGAGCATTTTTGCATCACATTTTGTTTTGTGAAATGAAACACACATGACTGCTTCCGCATGAGCCTGTGCTTTTTCTGTTAACAAATGGGTTTACTCCACTCCTCCCTCACCTCTGCCCACTTTCTAATAGGCACTCCTAAAATGCTTTGTGCTACCTTGATTTAAAATGCATGAGATGGTTTGGAATTGCCCCTCCCCACCACTCAACAAATATCTGTTTTAAAAGCACGGCCCAGGGGATTGGATTTTGCTTGTAAATGTTAATTTAGTGGCATACTTTATGACATACATTATTGTATTTGCCTTAATTTTAATCATGGGTGAGCTGAAAGGCCAGTTATTTATTATAAACCAAAAACCCCACGAGTTCAAATGCCAGCTGGGAAGGCTGAAGAGCTGAAGCCAAGCTCTCTGAAGGAGCTGCTGGTTTTTTGAGTTGCCTGTCTGAAGCTGGTTAAAAAGGCAATAGATTTGGTAGAGCAGGGGTAACTCAGGAAGCTGCACTGTACAGTTGGATCACATACTCCTGCAGAGAGTATCCTTTTATAAATATATTGGCAGGACTGGAACTGTCCTCCTGTGCTAAGTGTTTTAGGATCTGGTTCTGAGGGGGAAAAGTAACTGACTGAGTTTGCCTTCATTCCTTTCATGCTCCAGCTTTCACTCTGGCTGGACCAGCAGTTCTATGGCTGATTCCAGGAACTGCAAAATGAAATTCTGAGGCCTGAATTAAATAGAACATTGGGCTAGATGATCTCTTCTGGCCATAAATAACATTTCCATAATATTACACAAGAACCAGTGTAGTTGTTACTGCAGCACCCTTTTCTCTATTCTCTTGAAACATGAACTGGGAGGTGCATGGGCAAGAGAGGGGCAAATGGTGAAGGGGTTTGGCTTCCTGGGAGGGGGCCCTGCACAGCATGCTGCAGGTCCAGAGCAGTGGTTCTGAGGATGCTGCTCTCCTGTTTCTGGAACCGAGGCTCAGAGCCTGTTGAGGAGTGAAGCATGAGCCCTCAGGATGCACAGAAGGACGAGGGGCAGAGAATGGAAGAGGCTGATGTCCTTCTGTCTTGTTTGATTTTTCCACAGACAGCGGTGAGATGATAGAGATGCAAGGCTTTGGGGCAAACCTGCTGTCGTGGCAGCTGGAGCACTGCAGCCAGGGCTCCTCCTGTGTCTCCTGTTCCATGGGCAGCTCTCCCTACGACATTCCCAGCTGCTGCACCTGCATCCACGACCGGTGAGCAAGCTGTGCAGACAGCTCACCTGGGGACTGTGAGCACGCCACGGGTAAAAGCAGGAAGGGTTGAGTGGTTGCAGCACCCAAGACAAAGAGTAACAATTCTCAAGTAGTTTCTAATATAAAAAGATTAAGTTAGGCAGCAAGAAATTTAGTTTATTAAAACTAACTTATTAAACTGTGCTCAAGTCACATTTTGATAGAAAAATTTCATCTAGTTCTTTTGTCTAGTGTAAAATACTTCAGCTCTGGAACGTTATCTTTAACGAGGCATTAACAACTGAATGAAGGGCAACACTTGAGTTTGACACAGATCTCTACAGTGCACCTGCAGCAATTGTGGTTGCGTGTGCCAGGGGGAAATCCGTCTGGGGCCAAAACATTGGTGGGGGAAATGCTTTAATAAGTGGAGTTTGTTATTACTGTGTCCTTTAACTGAATAAATCTTGGTGCAGAGAAAAAAATTGCTGTGTAGGATACAGGGATCATAATTAAATTCTTGATGCTCTCTGTCTTCACCACCTGCTCTTATCCTGTTGGTGCCTCTCCACAGAACTCCCCTAAAGATGTTGTGTGAAAGCATGAAGAGGCAGATCATTTCCAGAGCCTTTTATGGATGTAAGTGAAGCTTCTTATATCTGGCCCATGTGGTATCCATGTGTTTATCTAAACAACATGGGGGTTTGGCTTAGAAAGCAGTCTGACCCTAAATTCGGGGCAGCAGGGTGGATGCAAAGCAGTGGCAGTGTTTCAGTGAGTTCTGCTGCTGGCAGTGGCAGGAGCAGTGCCCAGGGAAGACAGAATGGTTTTGCTCGGCGGCGCGGATGCTGGTCTGCGTCCGGTCTGTTCAGCCTTTGCTCTGCTGTACCTGCTCCTTCTGCCCCGGTGCAGAGCGAGCTCAGAGCAGGCAGGGCAGTCCCTGGGGGTTCCCCGTGCCCCTGGGGCTCCCCTGGCTGAGCTGTCCCCTCGCTGTCCCCGCAGGGCTGGCGCACTGCCGGCACCTGTCCACGGTGCGCACGCACCTCTCGGCGCTGGTCAACCACAGCATCGTGCCCCCCGACCGCCCCGCCAGCGCCGCCGCCGGCCTCACCAAGGAGGTCTGGAGCAAGTACCAGAAGGACAGGAAGGTCAGTGACACGTCCCTACGGGCTCCACACGCTGCTCTGCTGGGCAGGAAACCGCCCGCGGTGGCCCCAAGAAATATTAAAGGTGTTTGGCCACAGGGTCGCTTCTCAGCTCGTGAGTCAGCTCTGACAATCCCTTCTCTCCTTTGCTTCTCTGATGATGGCAAAGATATAAATTATTATCAAAGCAACTGATCTATTCCAATTGAGATTATTCTTATGGAAGGCATGACAGCCTATATTAGGCTGGGTTTCAGCTAAGGTCCTAAAGGCTTGAGTCAAGCTGCAGAATTTATTTAGTGTCCTGCATGTGTTTCACTGTCTCTGTACTGAGTGTGAAGTGAATCTGGGTGTACCTGAGTGAAATACTGATGTATTGCCTTCAACACCTCTTTCTCCTGGCCACCACTGCAGAACTACAAGGAACTGGAATTACTAAGAAGAGTCTACTATGGTGGGGTCCAGCATGAGATTCGGAAGGAAGTGTGGCCATTCTTGTTAGGGCACTACAAATTTGGCATGGCCAAGAAGGAGATGGACCAGGTAAGCCATAGCTTCCCTGGAATCTGAGTTACATTTGCAAAGTAGGTTTTGTTTTCTGAATAGCAACTGTTGGTCTTTATTACTGTGTGATATTCCCAAGGGAAAAACACTACTGAAAACATGAGTAGCACATGCTAGCAGAGGGGTTTTGATATTGTGTTTTAATGTCTGAATGTCACTAAATGAGAGTTCTCTCCTGAAGTCAGGGAACCTGCATTCAGCTCTGTCTGTGGCATGCACGTGCCCTGAGCACACCCTGTGTCCACAAATTTGTCACTTATAAAATGGGGAGGCACTGATATTTGGGTGGAATTTTACTCACCCCTATTTTATATGGTGTGTTAGCTGAATTATACTTCAGACTGCTCCTTGAAGTAACTACCTTTTCTCCTTGGTGCTGCATCTGCATGCACAGACTTTTCTGGAGCTGGGAACAGCCCAGATGGACCCTCTGGAGTTGCTTTGTGTGTGGTGGTAAAACATTGCTTTTCTGTGACATCACCCCAAGATTGGCTGGACTGGATGGAACAGTAATGAGATTTGGCCTGGAATATAATTAACACATTAATCTGCTTTTCAGTTAGTGTTATTACCAGGGAGGTAGCACTCATGCAGTAGCTGATTCTGTTCTGGATTAAATTGATAAGGAGTGGTTTATATATCAAAACATTTGGCATTTGCTAACTCCCAATTACTTTACATGTCAAGGGGTAATTTATATCCCTGTGAGCACCTGCAGAGCAGAAGGGCAGCCTGACCTCGAGCCTTGCCATGGACAAATCAGTGTCTTGCAAATGGGACACTAAACCAACATTGCCGTGGCAATTTGAGTTGTTTTACTCACAATAATCTTTAAAAGCCAGTTCTGAACACAGATGGAGAAACAGAGCCCTTTGCTGTTCAAACTGGGCCACAGTCCAGATTGTGCCCCCTGAATCCAGCCATCTCAGTAGATGTTTATTATAGATTTTCTGGCTGTAGTGTGTACATCAGGAATGTTCTACTGAGCACTGCTCCATTCTTTTTTTAATCTCAGATTTTCAAGAAAGGCAAGAATATTGGAGGTTTCTTGCATAGATTGCATTTTGCTGTCTCTGATCTCCACAAGTATGTGAACTATCAGATTTATGATCCATGTGTAGAAATAAAAGGTATGTCTGGAAATGAACAAAAGGACCCAGATGTTTAGTTTTTAGAGTGGGAGATGTGAAGCCATCTCCCATGGATGCTAGCCCCATCTCCAAAGGGCACATACATTTGTACAACTAGAACATAGGGGATTTGGCAAGAAGAGATAAATACTGGAGTCTGTATGATAGGAATTACAGTAAATCCATACAGAGATGTTACAGGATAGAAAAGATCTGATCTGCAGAACACAGGCTCCTACAGGAGATTTTTCTCCCTGAGTTTGTGCCCTACTAACCCAGGGGTACTCCGAACTTACCTGGAATTGTAATGAGCTACTCAACACCAGTAGCAAACACGAGTTTAGCTGACTCCTAAAGGAATGGGTTGTTGGAGACTGAAGCTTACACTGAATGTAGGAGTCTGTTAAATGAGAGACATGAGAACAGTCATAACACTGCACGTACAGGAACTCATTGTGTCCTAAGCTGAAGTCATTGCAGGTGATTTATCATCTTTGTCTTCTGATGGTATTTTTGCACTCCCAGCTGTGGCTGTCCTCCAGCCCTCCATTAACTGTTGTGTTTTATGATTTATGACTCGACAGCTACCTCAAGTGACAAGCAGCCTGCAGCTCTTAGCAGGAGCGCTCGGGCAGCAGCTCAGCCAGCCGGGTGCCGAGCCCGGAGCCAGCTCACACTTGTGACTTCTCTTCAGCTCTTGACAAGTGACAGAGTAGTAAAATTGCTACATGTCCCTTAATAGCTCAAGGGGGTTTCTGTGGCTGTCTTTCAAAAGAGAAAGCCAGCAGTGACAAAGATCTGTTTTACTCCTGTGGTGCACAGTGCAGCCAGAGGACGGGGCTGTGGGAGCTGGGATTCCAGAGCTGCTCCCGGGATCTGACTCTGTACAGGCTGGTGTCTATAGACCTGTGACCTGGAATTCTTCACAAGGGCTACACTAGAGGTGGAACCGAGGAGTTGGAAGGAGGTGTGATGGAATGAGGATGATGCAGGTGGAGGCAGCTTCCTCCTTAGATTGCATTTGACTTCCTGTGAGGTTTCACATGACATCTTTTGTTCTGTCCTGGGTCACTGGCACAGTGGCACAGTGCTGTTGATGGTGTATACAGCTGCTTATATGGATCCTTTCTGGTGCCTACAGTGTTATTAATTCCCTGCATTTAATACCCAACACCTGACTACTCCTCTCCAGTCACAGGGATGTGCTGCTGCAGCAAGAGGGCCTCGGCACCCTGGGGCTTTCAGTCTGAGACCCTGCAGCTGCCTTAGCCCTCTCCCTCCCGTTCCCTCCAGTGCCTGGGCAGGGAGGGCAGTGTCTCAGGACGTGTCTGTGCGTGCAGGTGGACGCAGACATTGCTCTGAGGTACCAGAAGGTGATGGCTGAGTGGAAGGCCTGCGAGGTCATTGTGAAGCAGCGAGAGAAGGAGTCGCACTCAGCCACGCTGGCCAAGTTCTCCTCGGGCAGCAGCATTGACAGCCACGTCCAGAGGCTCATCCACAGGGACTCCACCATCAGCAATGATGTAGGTACTCCCTTCCCACTCACCATCTGCATGGGCAGTGCTCAGCATTTGCAGAGGTGCAGCCCCAGGAGGCAGAGGGGGAGGTTAGCACAGCTCCTGAATCCTGGGCAGAGACTGCAGCTGTGGTGTCTCCATGTTAGAGTGAAGAGCAGGTCTGAATTTTGGACGGGTACAGCTGTTGTTAAGCAGGACCTGCCTGAGGGGCTCTAAGGTTCACCTAGGAAGGCAGATCCCCTCCCAGCAGAGGAACAGCTCTCCGGATCTCCTCCTTGCAGGTCCCTTAGCCAGGGCCAGCACGGGGCACACGATCACACGATCGCTGCTGACGCGTGTTTGGTTTTGCACGTGGCAGGTGTTCATCTCGGTGGACGAAGCGGACCCGGCGGAGCAGGAGCCCCGCGGGCAGGAGGAGCCCGCGCTGACCGCGCCGGCCCCCGCGGCCGCCGAGTTCGACTCGCCCGACTCGGGGCTGCCGTCCTCCAGGAACTACTCGGTGGCCTCGGGCATCCTGTCCAGCATCGAGGACGGGCAGAGCGGCTCCTTCGAGGACGGGGCCGAGGAAGAAGGCAGCCCCGCGGCGCGGCCGCAGGGCTCGCTGTCAGAGGAGCAGCTCTGCTCCCACGGCCCGGACCTGGCCGATGTCGCCTCGGTCTGCGCTGCGTCCTACACAGTAGGTCACAACCCAAGCACCAGCGTCTCTCTGCACAGCGTGGCTTCTTTAGCAAACGCTTTTTCAGATAGGATTTAATGGGAGAGTCCCAAACTAGAGCTGCAGCTGGTGGGATGATAATTGGGGATTTTTCCATCCAATCTTTTCCTCTGGATTTTGAGCTAGATTGGAAATAAGGCTGCAAGAAAAATTTGGGTGTTTTTTTTTTTTTTTTTTTTTTTTTAAGTGTTTCGGCAAGACAATCAGTGTGGCACATTTCTAGCAGTTAGAACTTTCCAGTGCCTGGGGGTGTGGACAATGTACTGTTTGTAAGACCTAATGTTATTTAAATCAAGCTAAAACTTCCATCTAGTCAAACTGAACCACAACCTAAATCTAGATTCAAGATGCCACCACCTCTGTTACTCTTGCTGTCACCCAGCAGCATGGTTTTTGCTTCTCTCTGCTGAAGTTATTTAGCTGGAAATAGCCATTTGGAAATAAGACAGGTTTGGCACATTTCCCAGTGAAAACAAATGTGTTTTACCTGGCATTTTTGACAGTAATTGAGTATTTTGATGCCCTCATCTGCTCAGAGTATAATTGTACTGTTTCTGGTTTGGTGATTCTCAGAGCAAATTTGCGCAGAGTCCTGGGAATGCTGAAAACTTGGCAGATCTAACTAAAACTTCTCTGTTCTAGATAGAGTTATTGGACACTGTTGCCTTAAATTTGCACAGAATTGATAAGGATGTCCAGAGGTGTGACCGGAATTACTGGTATTTTACTGCTGAGAACCTGGAGAAGCTCCGAAATGTCATGTGCAGGTAATGACCTTGTAAACCCAACTACTTTCACATTTCTGTCACAATCCATAAGCTAATCTGTAAACTATAATAATATGCAAATAAGAGTCAATAAGAATTCTCACTAATGACTTTAAAACAAGCTGCCAGAAGGAGGGACAGGCAGGATGGCAGGTTAGAGCATGGGTCCCAGTCTGGAATGCAGGTTTGGGATCTCTCAAGTGACAGACCCTATTTTAGAGAACTGTTCTCTGAATGTACTCTGAGGTTTGGGTTCCTCCTGATCAGGATGACACCTCCATGCTCAGAGGGCCACTTTATCCAGGCAGCAAACAGAAAGGGCTCTGAAATACTCTGGGAAGTGTCAGAAGGTTCTGAGGCTCACACCTTCAGCAGCTGCTTAGGATTTGATCTCACATATGGAATCAGCCTTCAATACAAGGATTTTTTCTTTCCACAGCTATGTCTGGGAGCACCTAGAAGTTGGTTATGTCCAAGGCATGTGTGACCTCCTGGCTCCTTTGATGGTTATTCTTGACAATGGTAGGAAGGGTTTTCCTTTGGGACATGCTGGTATCCTTAGTGAGGTCTTTCCTTAGAAATGCTGTTTCAAAAGGAGCTGTCTGCATTAACCAGGGCTGGGTCACCAGCAAAATCAAACCTACAGCTCCTGATTTGTGTTTTCTCCACCTGTGGCTGTTGAAATGGCTAACATTAGTATCTCGGGGCTGCCCTGTCACTCACTGACTTCCAGATTAAATTTTACCAAAGTTAGTGAAATTACTGTGTTCTGGGAATTGCTGATGCTGAAAAGTCAGCTGCAGGCTGGATTCTTTGAGACATAACTAGTAAAAATGGTCCAGAGTCAGGAACCAACCCCTCTTTCATCTAAATCTTGGGATTCAGAGAAGAGCAAAGGGGAAGAGCCTGGTTTTCCCAAGCCCTGCAGTTCTGTTTTTTTGATTCAAGAAGTCCCACAGTTGCCAGCACTGAGTGTCTGCCCTGTCCCTGCAGATCAGCTGGCCTACAGCTGCTTCAGCCACTTGATGAAGAGGATGAGCCAGAACTTCCCCAACGGAGGTGCTATGGACACACACTTTGCCAACATGCGGTCCCTCATCCAGGTGAGTCTGGGTCAGGGGGACCTGGAGGGAGACAAGGCTGAGCCAGAGGCTCAGGACTGGCCTGATGCCACGTGAAGGGTAAGAGCTCCAAGGAGTGACCTCAGAGCTGGGCAGGAGGAGCTGGAAGTGGATTTGTGGAGTTACAGCCTGAGAGCAGGGGAGGAGGTGGAGATGGACATTTGCCACTTGTTGGAAATCAGTAGGATCTTCACCTTGTTCCTTGTTCCTTTAAAGCCTTGGCAGAGATCAGCTGTGAGTGCTCAGCTCAGCACGGAGTCAGGGCACCCAGCCACAGCCCTGGCACACACAGCACAGGGAGCAGCTGCTCTGCCCACGGGATGAGGAGCAGGGTGGGACTCCAGCACCTCTGCTGCTTTCAGAGCACATCCTGACAGCTGATGTTTTCCATTCCAGATTCTGGACTCAGAACTTTTTGAGTTGATGCACCAGAATGGAGATTACACTCATTTTTACTTCTGCTATCGCTGGTTCCTGCTTGACTTTAAAAGAGGTAATAATGTTCTGTGCCTGTAGTTTAGGGTTGTGTAGAACTGTAACAGCTCTGTGCTCTGTGTTGTGGTGTGAGTGAGTGTCAGGATGGTGAGTGGCAGCTGGGATCACTGGAGAGTTTGTAGCCAGGAAAGGTAAAGGCAAGGCAGCTCTGAGATCAGACAGCACTGGAATGAGGCCAGGCTTAGAAAGGGGAGTTGCAAATTCCTGATGATGAGATTGAAGCCAAGCTCCTGCCCAGTGCCAACGCCTGTTTGCTCCAGAAGGTGATCCCACTTGTCTGTGAGCTTTGATGCCTCCTGTCTCATCCTTGTGATAAGAAGGAGCAGCTCAGCAATGCTCAGGAGCTGCTGTACTTGGAGTGGGGTGCCCTGTGAGGTGGGGAGCAGCCCTGATCCTTGCACAAGCACACTCCAGCAGGGTTGGTGCTGACAGGCCCACTGCAAAGCCAGACACACCTGGACACAGGCTCAGAGCTGCAGAACACTGGGGCCTCCTGTGCTGCTCTCACGTGGTCCCCGTGGTTCTGGCACCTTCCTGGGCTGGCCCTGCACCACCTCCAGGCTGGGGTACCTGTTCCTTGAGGCAGTTCTGTGCCTTGCCTGCACAAGTGACAGGAGCTGGCTGCAGGAGAGGGGGAGAGGAAAGGGAGGAGTCTTCAGGGTCTGTTCATGTCTGAGTAAGGCCTGTAGACATTGGTGAGAGAGGAGGGACGTGGTCAGTTGAATAATCAGATGCTCTTGTAATGTTTATTCCCATTCAGAATTGTTGTACGAGGATGTATTTACAGTGTGGGAAGTTATTTGGGCAGCAAAGCACATCTCTTCAGAACATTTTGTCCTTTTCATTGCCTTAGCACTTGTGGAAGTTTATCGAGAGATTATCCGTGATAACAACATGGACTTCACTGATATCATCAAGTTTTTTAATGGTAAGAGCCATTTTGATAAAAAGTAACAAGACCTTGCTCCTTCTCCTTTCCTGAGACTGTCTGGTGCAGTTCTTGTTGTGACAAACCCATGACCATTTTAACCTCTGAGTCTCAACCCAGGTCCTGCAGCACAAGGGATTCATCCACTTCTTCTGTCTTTAATTCTCCAAAACCAACCCCCTGGAATGTTCTGGGATTGCTGCTTGTTACAGTAATTAATTATTGCTAATGCTACATGAATATCCTGCCAGGGCAGGAGGGTGGTGCTGACAGTTAAGATGTTTGTCTGTGTCTCTTAGAAATGGCTGAGCACCACGATGCTGCAGAGATCCTGAGGATAGCCAGAGACCTTGTCTACAAAGTGCAGACACTGATTGAGAACAAGTGACCATGGACAGGCTGTCCCTGTGAGCCTCTGGATGGAGCATCCCTTGCACTGTAATTCCAAATGGTGTTTTAATTGCATCTTCCATGTAATGTAATAAATAGTGAGGAGATAGTAACAGACTTTTAAAACCTGAACTTTCCCTTCACCAGAAGAGGTTGGTGTTTGATAGTCCTTGTTACACTGACTTTGTATTTCTAGACAAAATCTTTTTTGCATTGTTTCCCTCTCTAGAAGACATCTGTCTACATCTTTGCGATGTTGAAAGGGGGGATTTGACAAACTGCAACATTTCTATTTTGACTTTCTGCACCTGTAAAGCCTGGATGCACCCTGTGTGCTCTGCCAGAAGCTGCCATGGAGGCAAGGCTGGGCCCACTGCTGCCAAGCACTGGCTTGGGTCCTTGGAGGAGCACGGTCCTGGCCTCTGTCTTTGCCTTGAACGTGGAAGAGAATGTGTCTGAGCTCATGTTGCTGAAACATTTGGGTTTGTATTTAGCAGTGATTAAAGCTGATAAGGTTTCTGGCTGGGAGAATGGCCTTAACCTAAATGGCACAGCTCATGGGAGCAGTGATGAGCTCACGAGCTAGAACACCACTTTGGCCTTGGCTGGGTGGCTCTCAGTGCTCAGCCTTCATGGCCCAACAGAGCTGCCTTTGTTTTGCTCTGCAGACTGGCCCTGTGGCACTCCCAGCTGCCAGGCCCTGCCCTGTGCTGCTCAGGTGAGCAGGCTGAGCCCAAGGGCAGGACCCTGCTCCGGGGCTGTGCAGGGCCATGGATTCACCTCCCATGGGGAGCCCCCCACATCCCTGACTGCACACTGCTGCTCCCCCCTGCCCTGCAGGGCTGCCAGGGGTCCCACAGACACAAACCAGGCTCTGGTCTCTGCCAGCAGGACCAGCCCCTGCCAGGTGAAGGAGCTGCAGTTCCTGGGGGCTCTGAGTTGCTGCTGCAGCCCCTGCTGGGCTGTGGAGCCCTCCAGGTGCCCCAGCCCCTCTGCCCAGCCCCAGGTGTCTGTTCACTTGAAAACTGGAGAAGTATTTTTTAAAAGAATGAGAAGAGTGAGAAAAACCTCCAACTCCCAGAGCCCAGGGAGTGATGGATGTACAGATAATACTGCACTATTTTCCTTGGTATGTTGGGAATGTTCTGTACAGCTGTTTCACACAAACCCAATCTGTGAACTTTGCTGTATTTGTTAGAACATTCTGTCTGATTGGATTTTATCAATGTTGTGTATTATTTATTTTTGTTGAGAGCAGACTATTCTCTTTATTGCTCAATTATTTATGTTTAAATGTAACTTATGAATAAATACTTATCATCAAGGCATCCCATGGAGCTCTTTGGGAGCGATTTCTCTCCCCCCGAGGTGATTCCAGCCATGGAACAGGGATGAGGCTGTCTGGGAGGACAGGGTGAGATGTAATTAATGTCTCTCTGATGAGCTGCATGGGCTGTAGTGCTAAAGGCAATAAATAGGTCACCATTAAGTAGACTCCCGAGGTCCCTTAAATTACTTTTAGGGCAGTTTTCATGTACCCACCAGCTGAGCCTGAGCCAGCCCAGCCCAGGAACAGAAATAGGCTTATCACAAGTCTTAAGTAAGAGTTTCATCCTGAAATTTTAGGCCTGATTGTGCTGCAGCTGCACTGAATCCAGCTGAGCTGCTGGACTTGGAGGAGAGATCCTCCTCCATCACTCCCAGTCCTTGTTCAAACCCCGTAAACTCCTCCAGCTGTGTCTCCTCTGCAGCAGGGATGGTCCCTCCTCAGTCTCACCTGGTGCTTGGCTGCTGCTGGCAGCTTTTGCAGCAGTGTTCCAGGTTTTTAGGCTAAATAGTCTGCCTGGAGATGAGTCCCTGGGGACTTAGGGAACATTTCCCCATTCCACCATAAAAAGGCCCCAACAAAGGCCTCTGTGTGCTGGGGTGGGTGCAGCACCCCTCGTTCCAGCTAATCAGGTATTTATCCCTATCAACAGGGATCAGCCCTTTATGAAGTGCATCCAAGGATGTGTTGGCCTAAATAAACTTCAGTGTCCTTGTGCCCTCTGCACTCACCCAGTGGGACTGGGGTGGGCAGGGCACCTGAGCACCACAGCTGGGCTTACAGCTGCCTCTTGTCCCTCTGTCCTTCCCACACGTCCCCACATCTCCTTTAATTTTCAGTGCAGTTCTTTAGAGCCCCCCAGCCCCTCTGCCTGAGCCCAGCCCCTGACCTGCTGCCCCAGCCACGCTGGGGTTTGCCTTGCCCTGTGCTGGATGATCATCCTCGTCTGTCCCTGCTGCAGAGGAGGGAGAGGGAGAGCCTGGGATGCAACTTCAGCACCTGCAGGAGAGACAGGTCCAGGTGAGGCAGTCTGGGCTCAGCCCCAGCCCACCCGCAGGAAGGACACCCCGGTGGGGCTGGGACAGTCCCGGCTCGAGGGGCTGCTCTGCGGGGCTCCATGGGGCTGGGGGACCCCCGTGCCCCCGCAGGGCCGGGGTGGGCTCTGCTGGAGGAGGGCACAGGAGCTCCCCGAGCTCTCAGGCTCCTGAAGCTGCCAGGTTTGCTGTCCCTGCGGAGCCCGGCCCCGGAGGAGGGACGGCATTGCACCGGGGAGGCACAAACAGAGGGAGGGGTCTGCCTGCAAAGCACAGGGAAGCAAACGCAGAAACCCGTTTCTGATTTCAGTGCATGTTTATTTCATTTTTATATTTATTTCAGGCAAGTGCTTATTACATGGATATCATTCATGTTGGATACCTAAATTCTGGAGCATGAAGAGCCAGTATTGTACAGCTGAATAGTAAAAATACAATATGTACAAAATTAGTTGCTTTTTCACATAGCAGATGTATCCAAACACATAAAAATCTTTACAGTCTAGTTTGTCAATATTCAGTATTTCAGTAAATTGGTAACACAGTGACACGTCCTCACTGTAAACACAGACTGCACCTGCCCAGGTGAGGTGCAGGGGGGGACAGGGGCTCCAGGCCAGCGATGGCAGCAGCTCCAGTGACACATTCCTAACGCGGGGAGCACAGCCAGGTAAAATAAATAAATAAATGCTTCAGGCAGGAGGGGGAGGTCACATGCAGTGACAGAGCAGGGGGTCCCCGCTCCCACCACGCTCCTCACCCAGCGATGCCAGGCTGGGGCCTGGCCAGAAGCCAAAAAATCACTGGGTGGTCGCAGCCCGTCCCTGACCCTCGCTCTGCCAAGCCCCAGCACGTTTTGGCTCAGGTTGTTAAGGCGTATCCATAAGGCATTCCACGGGAGCAGCGGCCACAGCAGCAGGGCAGGACGAGCCTCCTGCTGCCAGGGAGAGCTCAGCACAGGGCCGGGGGCTCGGGGCCGTTCCCTGGTGGTGGCTTCTGCCCCAGCGCTCCCTCTCACTCAGATCCCTACTCCCAGCACGAGGGTGAATCAACGGGCCTCATCCAGAGCTAGAGCAGAACCAGCCGTGTCCTGGCGAGGGGCACCGTGACATCCCACGGCCCGTTCCCACCAAAGCCCACACAGAACAGCCCTGTCCCTGCCCTGCCCTCCTCCCCTTCAGCAGCCTCAGGTGAGGAGTGAGCCAGCCTGGGAACAGCCAAACACAACCTCTGCCACGACTGCACCGCCCAGTGCTGGGCTCAGGCTGCTATTTTAATAGCTCAAGTTTGGATTATCAGGTGCTGTATAACAGGGACAGAACGAAGCCATGACTGATTCTACCCACAGCCTATTTTCCTTAACACTAAACATCTGCTCCTAACAACTGATGTTTCACTCAGGGAGAAAATAACCTAAAGACAGTGTTATAATCCATTTTAATCTGTTCCAAATGATAACAAGGGATGGAAAACAGGCCGTAAGTATGAGGGTTTTCCTTTCCTCACCCCCATAGCTTTTAGAATCAAAGTAAGACTGGAATGAACAACTGTTCAGAAAAAAACATGCCAAGTCTCAGAGGAGCCTCACCTGTGAGTGCTCAGAGCTGCCCACCTCCACACCAGCTCCAGGAGCCCTCTGCAGCCACATATCTAATTAAGCTAATTAAGCGAGTGCCTGAACCGAGACAGGCTGAGCCAAAGTCCTGCTCAGGTAAGCAGAGGTCACCTGGTTCATCTGGCCAAGGCTGCTCACCCCCCTGCCATGGGGACACTGATACCCCTCAGAGAAAGGAAAGGGGCCCAACAAGCACCGACCACATCATCCCACGGGGCAGGAGACGCCTTCCCCCGAGCCCCTTGGACCCACCCAGCCTGGAACAGTTCTCACTGTTTTTTCTTTAAATGCAAAAAACACCCTCAGGATGCAAACCAGTCCAAAGAGACACAGGCTACATACAAAAACCAGACACAAGAAGCCTTGCATTGCATGTCTACAGGAATCTAGCAGGCGTGCACGGACAACCACACCGACACCGACACAGCAGCGACACCTCACCTCCACCTAACCACCCAAGGCATTTTTTTTTGTTTCTTTTGTTACAGAAGGCCACTTTGAAATAAAACAAATTAAAAAAAAGACAAGGAGCCCCAGAGCAGCCGGCTCAGTGGGATGATGAGGGCTCCGGACGTGCCCTGGGCACCTCGAGGGCAGAGGCCTCTGCAAAGGGCCGTCCCCTCTGTCCAGCTCTGCTCAAGAAACCAAAACCAGCCGTGCCAGGGGCCAGGGGTGACACTGGAGCCCTTCTGACACCCAACACTCGGCCCCAGCACGGACAGACAGATGGACACACACACACACATGCAGAAAACCCCGACGGCAGCAGCTTGGCTCCAGCCCTCATTCCCCCTGTGAAATGCGGGTCCCCAGCTGCCCCCACCGTGCCCCCAGGGACACAGGACCCGCTGATCCCTCTGGGATCCCACGCAAGCAACTGCAGAGACCGCGGGAAATCAGATCACTTCCCTTCCTAAGATCAGCTACACAGATCTGGCAAATTTTTACTGGTGAGGTCAGGATTGCATTCCTGTATCTGAAGTGTCAGCGTTAAGAGCTCTTCCAGGATCATGTTAAAGCAGCAGCTGGGGCTCTCTGCCCCCTGGCTGGGCTGGCAGCAGCTCCACAGCCCAGCACGAGCTTTCCCCGTGGCCAGCCAGGGTTCTGTGCCACAGTGCCCACACATCTGCCCAGCTGCAAACACCCCCGGCCGTGCTGCCTGAGCTCCAAGCACAGCTCCAGCTGCTGAGCACAATTTGGCTGCTGGCAGCAGGACGTGGAGAGTGTGGGCTGCAAGGGCACCTGCACTGACCAACAGGCTCCAAGCCAGGGGGGACAGGACAGAAAACCCTCTCAAACTACTATGCAGAAACCCCATTTTCTATTGTTTCTGTGGCATGGTTACCAATAACTACTATTATTCAACAACAGAAGAGATTTCTTGTAAACTTCATATTTATTGGTTTTTTGGGGGACAAATGAGATCTTATGAATCCCCAAGTGTACATATATATTTATATATAGCTTTCTCCATAGGGAAAACATGTATCAAAGGAGGAGAGACATTCCTAAAGTGCCCCTTGTCATACAGTACTGAACGGGATTTCTAAGAGCATCAGTGTAAATCCAAAGTTTCTGAGCAGGAATAACAGAGGTGGAAAAGGAAGAGCTGTGGCCGCTCTTCTTCCCACAGAACAGAGAGAAGTTTGCTGACTTTGAAATACAAAAAGAAAAATCCCAAAGAATGTTTCTGGTAGCCCTGACACAGGCAGATGGGAACAGGGGTACACAGGACATCTGGAGCAGCCCCCGGCGGGCCAAGGGGGGGTTCCTGACGGGGGCCAACACCCACGAAGGGGATCAGACAGACAGACTGCATGGCACACTTCCAAGGGGCAAGAAAAACTGGCCAAGACACAGCCCTGGGCAAGGCAGGGGCACTCTTTGCTCCAAACCATAAGGGAGTAGAAGATGAGGTCAGCAGCAGCCCTGTGCACACAGCACAGCCCCTTCAGTAACCCAGCAGCAAGCTCCTCTCCCTGGGGCTTGGCCACGTTCCTGCACCAAGCCCCTTCCCAACCTGGCTCCTTCTCCTTCAGTGAGGAGAATTTTGATTTTGTGAGTTGGAACGGTACAAAAAGGCAGAAGCACACGTCCTCCCCCTCCTGAGGCTGCTGCAGAAGGCAAAGCCACCCTCCCTCCTGAGAAGGAGGTGACCCTGCTGCACACACTCAGGCTGAGGAGTTTCTGAGATTTGGAGAAACTGAGCCACAGCCAACCCTCTCTCTCAAATACTGGCACACAGTGGCCTCCTTGGGAAAGCACCTGCAGGGACAGAGGACAACAAAGTCCTGGCAATTCTGGGAATCCCCAGTGTTAATGATGCACTGCAATGAGAACAAATTATCTGCT